TTCATTCAAAGGTTTTCGGCATTTCGTGGGAGTCGGAAATTGAATTCACTCGAGTTGAAGGCATAGATAGGGATTCTCGTGTTTTTTGGGGGGAGAGAGTCAAGCAAAATGAATGCAAGGGGAGGGAAATGGAGGAAAAGAGGACGGAGGCTTGAGGAGAAGGATTCTCCGGTGTTCGATCGATTTTACAGGTTTTTTGGGGACAGAGTTGTTGGGTGATTTGAATCGTGTGGAGTGTTTACAATTTTCAGAACATAAAATTGTAAACACTCAAAGAAAATTATTCTTGAAATTCCAAGTGAAAAAGCTTGAAATCGTTAACAACGAAAAAGTTACGTGGAATTTCTGGAGAATTCTTCATTGACGAATCGGTAATTTCTTGAATATTCAAGTAATTCCCGATTTTCAGGTCCATACGGCACTGAAAAACCGTGAACATTTGGAAAATTCAGGCTATAAGTTCTCGGAATTTTCGATCTATTGAAAATTGAATTATATGATGTTTCAATGATTCTTTAACATGGAAAACCGAATTTTCTTGATTTTTCGAGACAAGTGAGAAATTTCGTGAACGTTTTCATTTGAAATTGAATTCAAACTCACAACATTGAAAATTCAGATGACGTTGCGACTAAAATTTCAAGAAATTCCTAACGGTGTATACTTTTCGGAAATTGTTATCAAGTGGTAGTTTCAGTGGAATTCCAAGGAATTTAGCCCGGGAAAATTCACAATTTGATGAAATAATGCCTTGAAAGTAGGAGTTTCAGATCAATTATTTCGTAAATTAAAAAAAAATGAGAACATTCAAATGACAATTAATTTACTGAGAATTTGGCGCAATTTGGTAGTGAATTTTTATATTTATCATAAAAATTCAAGGAACTTGCGCAATTTCTGTCTTTCTGTTGCTCAGAAATTGGGAAATTTATTAAATTTTCTGTGAAATTTCAAATTTCATGCTTTTTTAAGTTGACTTTAATTGAAAATTGAATAACAATTAAATAATTCAATTATTATTAAATTATTGTTGAACAATTCAATTTCACTTAATATTGGTCTTTTGAAAAACACAACAAAACTGTCTATGAAATGCAAATTTTTCTCCAACAATGAATCATGTTTTGCTTAATGCGGTAGTTCCCCCCAAACCCTCAGGATTTCTGCCGTATCATCGACTTCCTATGGAACTTCCAAGTAATTAATGATGAAAAACAGAAATACTCCATTCCACAGGAAAAAATAACGAAGTCCTCTAATTTTATCAGTAAGTAATAACTACTCATTAATACTAATCTATATTATTATTAATAATTATTATTATATCTATTATATAATAATAATTAATAAAATAACTAACAATGAAATTTCGTTTCATTTGAGATAACGCAGAAAATCTAATGATTGTCATAAATAAATAACAAATAAATTATATAATAAATTAATTCCACTAATGTCCTTCCAATCCGGAATTCTATTGAATTTTCCTTCAAATTCAAATTTTGTCTTCTCACAATATAAATAATAAAAACATAAATAAATAATAATAAAAAAAAGAAATACTCCGTTCCTCAAAAAACCACCAAAATCCTCTAATTTTACAAAATAACTAACGCTCGATTCTTCTCCACCCGAGATAACTCGAAAAATCTAATGATAATCATAAATTAATTCCGTGATTTTCCCCTAATGTCGCCGTTAAATTAATTAACCTCCCTAAAACGACGTTGATCAAATTTTACGTCGTGTTCTCTAAAACCCTGAGTGTGTAATGGCATTTTAACCCGAGGTAGAACATTTTAAACAAAAAAAGCCCTCTGTATCTTCGTTAACCGGATAAATAGAGGGCTTGCTTTAACGCCAGCATCGGCTTTTCCTTGGGCTTAAACTCCCCCCCGCCCCCCCCCCTCCTTTCGACCTTTAAACCCCCAACATTTTCCAGTGTCGCGCAGCGCCCGTAATTTCATATCGTTTCCCTTAATACCGTTATGACCACTTACCCGAGGTCCACGGGTGTCGTACATACTAATTTACCTCCGCAAAATCCATACTCACGGTAACGTGCAGCGAGGTGCGAGGGAAAGTGGTTAAACAAAACCTGCAGATAGAGAGGGGAAATAAAAAAAATAGTCGGGATGAACTTTTACCCCTCGAGTGGTCGAGTGCGGGGAAAACGAAAGCGACTGGAAAAAAGAATGTAAAGTGATAATAGAGTAAAAAAGTAATGGGGGGGAGAGGAGAAAATTACAGATGGAGATGGGGAAAAATGAAAACACGGGGAGAATATGCTCCCGACTTTTCCACTTCTCTCGGGAGGGTGAGGAACAAAAATGAGAGACGGAGGCTTTTTCTTCTTCTCATTTTCTCTCCCTTCACTCCAGACTTTGTATTGTATTTTTCAAAGTTGCGTGCATGGGTTTCCCAGCCTCGTTATCGTCTGGGGCTCGCTGAAGGGCCTGGAGAGATGAAAAAGAGAGTGTAAAAGGGGCGCGTGAAGAAGAGTCATGGGGGGAATGAGAGGGGGTGGGAGCGAGGGCGGCGGAGGGAAGGGGAGACGGGAGGGCGAGGGTGACTCTGCGGTGGAGGTTCAAGGGTTGCAGTTGAAAATTGCAGTGAACGGGTCTTTTCGCGGTGAGGGGCGGTCAGAGCGGCCGGGAGGGAGGGGAGGGCTGCAGTGCAACATTGAAATCGCTTCTCAAGATGAACGGGCGGAGGGGGAGTCGTGTCCTTGGGGAGGGATTTGTACAGATTTGCGCTGAGTGCCCGTGGTCTATTGGCTTTTCACGGAGGGACATTTTATAGGAAAATTTTGGTGCCAGCGCGGGAAAGATGGAATTTTAGTGAGTACACGGAGAGAAATTTTGGTAAAAATTATCCCATAGTTCTGCTAAAGTTTAGCATGAGTCATCGTTTCCTCATTTCTATCCCGAAATTTAGTAAAAATTAATATATGATGAGCAAATTTTATTCTACGTTTGAGAAATTTTATCCTGACGCATAGCAAATTTTACCCTTCCAGTCCAATCATTTTTATGTAGATAACGAAAATTCTAGAACGGTTGGTAAATTGTACCCTACCGGTACAGTAACTTTTACTCTGCCGGGACAGTAATTTTTATTTTTATCAGAATAAAATTTCCTTCCAATTTATCGAAGCTCTGAACAACAATTTTTATCAGTGTTTCTTGATCACATAATCACTCTGAATAACAACTCCATTGATGTGAAAGGAGATTGAGTTATTTATTCATGGTGAAGGCACTCTCCCTCTTTACGATACACTCAATTGAGGGGAAAATTCTCGATTAAATCAAGCGTGAGTTACCTAAACAAGGGTGTCATCGCAACATGCCGGGATCCCAATTAATCATTGAGCAAAAATAGTCCCAATGACTGATTAATTATCGAAACAATTCGAATGATTAAAGCAACTGATTTTCGTTTACTATTGGAAGTTTTGGTCAAAATTTCGAGTACAGTTGTTGGAAATTTTCATCAAATGACAGTTTCACTGGAATTTCGTGGAATTTGGGCGTTCGAAATTCACAACTTCATGAAAAAATCGGTGAAAACTATAAAATTATCATTCTATTCAATAGTTTTTTTATTGAGATTATGAATATTTAATAGCAAATTCTGCTGAAGTTTCAATTAGCTGTTAACTCACGAATTTATTTAGCTGATTTTTTCAGATTTTTATAAATTGTTAGGGAGTAATAACTGAAATTTATAATTTCCATTGATTTTACCAAAAACTTTTCAATTTTCAATGACGAAGTTCCTTGAAATTTAAGTGAATGAATAACGCGATAAAACATTCTAAGAAATGTATCAAAAATTTATGGCGCATTATAATTGCGCTGAAATTCCCAGGAATTTCGTCGTCGAAAATTCAAAATTCAATCTGAAAAATCATTGGAAAGTATAAATTTAGGATAATTATTCCATAAAAATTGATAAAAATTACAAAAATTCAGATGAACATATTTTTTAAGTTTCAATTGCATGAGAATTCAGTGTAATTCGGTACAAAATATTCACGTTTTGACTGAAAAAATAACAAAGTTGAACAAGTCTCGTCGTTCCATGGCTCAAAAGTTTTGAATTTCATTAAATTTTTCCTCAAAAACAGAGATTTCCTCCCCCAAAATTAGTCCTCACCTATTTCTTAAATTCAAATTTTTATTCAATAGTCTAGAATGTTGCTAACAAAATCATATTCTTCATTTTTCAGATGGAAAACTGACATTTCCACCCCCAAAATTACTCCACAACTATTCCATAAATTTTGATTTTTATCTAACAGTCTAAATTGAGTTCACCGTCACTGATTTTTTTCTAACAAAATCATATTCTTCATTTCTCAACTTTAAACAAAAAATTTCCTGAAATTCCCCCAAAAACTGACATTTTCTCCCCCAAAATTACCACCATAACACCATAACTATTCCTGAAATTTTCATTTTTATCTAGCAGTCTAAATCGAGTTCAACGTCACTGAACTTTCTTCTAAAAATATTCAATTCTTTATTTTTCAGATGGAAACAAAATTCAAAATGAAGTAAACCAGCGACGATTCCCCCCGAGTGTGCAGTTGTCCCCGTAAAATAGTGTTGAATGTAGTGAAACAGTAAACAAAGTGAGAAAGTACAACAGCCCCTCGTGTTCGAGTCCATCCAGTTCACTAGGATGGACGAGTCTATGGACGGGGAGTACATGGAAACGGTACTGAGGTGGTTTTGTCGTAACATGGTGACAGTGTCGTCGGTTTACTGGTGCCAAGGATTGGTAATTGCCAAACCTATGGTCCTGGCGACTAACGTAGCGAGCAACGTTGTCTACTGCTAATCGCTCACGATTGTGCTCGTTCAAGCGCTAACAAGAGGTTGGCTGATGTTGGTGTGGGTGGGAGAGGCACCGCAGGATTAAATTCACTGGGAAAATCTCAAGACAGGGAGGAGGGCGGGGGGGAGGGGGTCGGGCTCAGGGGGACTGCGAGGATGCATCACGGTGGTGGGTATGGTGCTGGTCCACAGGAGCGTGTCCACCAGGTATCGAGAGCCTCGGGGACGACTAATGTCGATGGCAAATGCCCTTACGACACTTATCCCACGACGATACCCGACTGCTGCGCTGCTGCCGCTGCTGCTGCCGCTGGACAGGAGCCGTATCCGAGACCACCGAGTGCTTATGACGGACGGTGCTATGACGAGTGTCACAGGATTCGGGGAAATTTTCCGGAGGAAAATTTCAGCCAGGTATTGGACACAATTTTTTAGCTTCGGAGGAAGGTTTTTTTTTCATTGTAATTCAGAGAAAGGTTGGGTGCAAATTTAGTCGTGAGGTGACGAGGTCCATTGACAATTCTTGTAACAAATTTTTTGGGGAATTGTTTCCGGTTTGAGCATGCACTGTTGCAAAAAATTGGGTGAATTTTAAGGAAAAAAATTTGAATTTGATTTAAGGAAAAATTTAAAGAATTTCAAGTTTCTCTGAAAGTTCACGTGAAAGTTCACGTGAAAGAAAATTCATTAGAATTTTTCTTTCCTATCATGGAATTTCTTCCTGAGTCTCTCACCGGTTTGTCAATGAAAAGCTATTCTTCCGCATTGTTGACAAAATTTTACTGAATTTTTTGGAAGAAGACCTTGAATTTGATTTAAGGGAAAAAAGTCAATGGAATTTCAAATTTCTCTCGCAATTTAAGTAGATTCCATTTTTTTGCGATAGAAAAACAGAAATTCCACAATTTTCAATAACAAAATTCCTCCTTTTTAACAGTGTGGTAGGATGTATTTCAATTTAATTGGATATTGGCCGTTTTTCAAAATTGCACACGAAAAATTTCGCTAGAATCCTCGGCAATTTTTCTCAAGTAACATTTCCACTGAAATTTCAAGGAATTTCAGTAATTAAAATTCAGAATTTCCTCGAAAAATCGATGAGAACTGTAAATATCACGTCAATTATTCCATAAAAATTGATAGAAATCAGTCAAATTCCGGTGAATACATTTTTGAATTTTCAATTAATTAAAAATCCCGTGTAATTAGCCACCAAATATTCACGTTTTCTTTGAAAATTCAAACACCTTAAGGCATTTTCGTCTCAATGCTCCTCCAAATTTTCAAATTTCATTGAATTTTCAGTAAAATTGAAATAAAATTAAATTTTCAATAAAATGAAAGTTTGTCTGAATTTCCGACGAACAGGAGCCTGAACATTCCAATTAATGTTTCAAAATCCGCCAAATTTTCATTTTATTCAGGCGTTTTTTGGAGTCTGAAAAATATCTGCAAAGGCCGTGCGAAATTCAGACATTCGTTTTTGCTGTTTTCCCCTAAATCGCATTCAACGTCACTTTCAATTTTTCCCTTACAGTATAGACATGAGGTGAATTCCACTAAATTCACCTCAAACGTCCACTCCTAATAAATTCAGCCCATTAAAAAGAATTCAGCCATTGAAATCAAAGTGCCTGTGACCGATATTCCCCGAAAATACTTCAACTCCCCGAAAGACAATTGGGTCTCAAGATAACGAGATCGATCAACGTGCCAACAGAAACTTATGCAATTATGTTAATCACAGTAATTCCACTGGTGGAGTATAACTAAACGTTGAAATTCGAGACAGAGAGAGACAGCGAGCGATAGAGAGGGCGGAGGAGAATTGGCACGATTCCTCAGGCGCCATCGTACCACCAGGGTCAATATCCTCGCCCGCTAAACATTAACTCAAGCCTCCAGTTCGGATTTAAACTAGTTGCCAGCATTACCACCCTCCATTTTTACCGAGCAGTTGAATTTTTCAAGTTGCTCCCTTCGTTAAAACGCATCAGCAATAATTAAATAGAAACATCGGTTTAAACACCCCGGGATAAACTTTGGGAATGAGGATGGAGTAGCTAAGTGCAGAGCAAAGTGTAATTGCAATCGTAACCCACTCCGATGGCACTGCATGCTTTGTATTTATGCTCTGCATATCCCTCCCGGTGGTTCATTAACAATAAAGTTTCTTTAATACGATTTTGATGGGATGAAACTCGGGGGGAGTGAGCTAATGGATAGTCATGAGTTTGGAAATGTCTGGGATTACTTTAACTCAATTCGCTGAATTTTTGGGTTTGCGAACATTTGGAGGGAATCGAATTAAGAAATCTCACTGTCTTTTTTTATGGAAATCATTGTTTTGTTTCAGTCTTAACATTTTGTGGTATTTATACCGGCAACAATTTCAGCTGAATTTTCCGGCGAAAGACTTTGAATTAGATGGAAGGGGAAAGAGTCAATGGAATTTCACGTTTTCTTCTGTTAAAAAATAGGTGAAACATTTTTAGTTCGCCAAGGATATATTAGACTTGAGAATATGTCAAGTTTAACTTTTAATAGAAGATTGACATGAAACTTGGCGGACAGCTCTTTGCAATAGCTTACATTTTCACAGTTGGAAAATACTTGCACCTTTTTTTGCTAAATACCGCAGATTTTTTGTCGTAAAAATTTTTGAAGATCATTTCTGAAATATTATGTCAAACCTGAGCGTAATAAAAATGGACATCAACTCCTTTTTTATGAATACATGAATACATAAGGACCAAAAATGAAAATTAATGGAAACTAAACTTTTTTTTTTCTTCTTCCATTAATTTTCCAATAAATTTTGAATTTTTAATCTATTAAAAATTGAATTGTATGTGATGTTCAACATTCACGATGACTTTCAAAATTCAAGCTTTCATTGAAAAATCAATGATTCTTCCACATGAAAAACCCAATTTGCTTAAATTTTCAAAATGAATGAGAAATTTAGTGAACGTTTTCATTTGAGATTCAATTCAAACTCACAGCATTGAAAATTCAGGTGACATTGTGACTGAAATTTCAAGAAATTTCTAAGAGTGTAATGTGACGGAAATTTCAATTTTACTAAAGTTGAATTCGAGGGTTTAAAATTGATCATTTCCTCTTCAAATCAATCCAATCACTTTCACTTGCATTCAAAACAGTCTATTCAATTTTAATAACAATATTTTCTAATTTAAACATTTTGTTCCGTTTATTTTATTTCATTTGTCTTTTTTTTCTCTGTATTTCTTTCCACACAATTAACGAAACATCTCGACTGAACCCGTGGGTTCATTCAAATATTCAACTCCTAAAATTCTCCCATAATTCACAAACCCATGGTCTCTTGAACCTGAATGCACGTTGAAGTGCACTTCGAACATGTGAATTCGTCTGTGAATCGCATAGTTGATTCTCAAGGGTACTCGTGCCTCGCATCACGTGACACGGCGAAGAAGGGGGGGAGGGGGTGGGCCGGGTGAGTAGAGGAAGAGGGAGAATGTGCAGTGGAAGGATGGAGAGAGGGATTTTGATGGTGAACGTTAATAGAGAATTCTCACTAGTTGGCTGGAGAATATTCGACTGGGGGTGTACTTTGTGCATTGACAGGGGACGAGTGCCTTTCCCCGTTCGACTCCGAATAACTGTAAAGTACGTACTCGTCTCGGTTGGTCGGAGACAGCAGTAACACCCGGTACTTTCGGTGCTCTGACTACTGTCAGACGTCGTTGCGAGTGTCTAGGAGCGTGCAGACTTGAACGGGTTAACGTCACTGCTTTATTATTATGCAACAGGCATTCGAGGAGATTAGATTCACATTGAGAGATTCTTGATGTCAAAGGCAGATTGTAATTGATTTTTTTTATGGTGGACGAAGAATTTTTAGCATCTGACAGCCGTCGAAACAATTAAATGAACGAATGGAATTTTAAATTGAGCAATTTTGGGGGATTTCTATTCATTTTCATGAAATGATTAAACAACACTGGGGGAAAAAATCAGTTCCGCGAGAGGGATTACTTGTGGACAAAAAAGAAAGTCTCCACCAAAACGTGATAATTTTTGTAGTAGTAATTGTTCTCGTGAGACATTTACATGCGGGTAAATACATTCGTTCTACAGAGAATTATATGAGGCTCCGGTTTTATCAAGTGAATGTTATTGAGTAGTGTATATCTTTGTCCAATAAACGCTTATAATTTCTATGGAACAAATGATCAAATGATAATTTCAAGAGGAAACTACCATTTTCTTGTCGATAACTGTGTTATTGGCAAAACTAGATAATTTCGAGGGGACAATTTTTTTTTTGGGAAAAAAATATTCTTTCCTCGTCAATGTATTCTTTCTGTGGTATAAACCTATGGAGTTCTGTCAGGTCAAATGATTGTCGTACAATAGATTATATTTTTTCCTGCCAACAGTTCGAATTCTTCTAGGGATATTTCTGATGATCACGACAAAAATTTAATTTTTGCAGAAGGTCTTAAATTTTCTTCTATCAAGTTGGTTAATTTCCGTTAAGTAAATCTGTTTCACTCCATCAAATATTCTGAAGAGGAACATATGATTTTTTGACAGAGCTAATTTTTTCTCAGTGTAAAATTTACAGATTTCATTAATTTTTTCATGATATTATGAATTTTTAATGATGAAATTCCTTGAAATTTCAGAGGAACTATCACCGCATAGAAATTGTCATGAAATATAATGCAAATTAATTAAAAGAAACAATCAAAATGCAACCAAATGGGACAAACTTCGAAAAAACTGCAAAAAAGGTCTTTACAAAATTCAAAAAATTCCTAATTGATATGATTATCTTGAGATTAAATTGTCTTTCAGTGAGTTTAAGTATTATCGCTTCCCTGCACTTTGATGTCGCCGGGTAAATTGTTTCCGTTGGGTTTAATTAATTTGTAGAGAAGTTTTGGGTACATATTTTCGACGGATTTGGACTGGAAAGAAGAGGGAGGGGGTTTCTCCAATCGGTTGATTGAATTATTGGCTTTTCAGAGAAGTTTCCGTTCCAATAATTTCTGGAGGGTCAAATATTTGCATTTATTCATAAAGAAGTTTCTTAGGGGTTTTCTTATTCATTCAGGGTCGTTCATGTTCTGAGGATTTTCATTCGGAGTTGGAGATATTCATTGGTTTGGTCATTNCGGGTAAATACATTCGTTCTACAGAGAATTATATGAGGCTCCGGTTTTATCAAGTGAATGTTATTGAGTAGTGTATATCTTTGTCCAATAAACGCTTATAATTTCTATGGAACAAATGATCAAATGATAATTTCAAGAGGAAACTACCATTTTCTTGTCGATAACTGTGTTATTGGCAAAACTAGATAATTTCGAGGGGACAATTTTTTTTTTGGGAAAAAAATATTCTTTCCTCGTCAATGTATTCTTTCTGTGGTATAAACCTATGGAGTTCTGTCAGGTCAAATGATTGTCGTACAATAGATTATATTTTTTCCTGCCAACAGTTCGAATTCTTCTAGGGATATTTCTGATGATCACGACAAAAATTTAATTTTTGCAGAAGGTCTTAAATTTTCTTCTATCAAGTTGGTTAATTTCCGTTAAGTAAATCTGTTTCACTCCATCAAATATTCTGAAGAGGAACATATGATTTTTTGACAGAGCTAATTTTTTCTCAGTGTAAAATTTACAGATTTCATTAATTTTTTCATGATATTATGAATTTTTAATGATGAAATTCCTTGAAATTTCAGAGGAACTATCACCGCATAGAAATTGTCATGAAATATAATGCAAATTAATTAAAAGAAACAATCAAAATGCAACCAAATGGGACAAACTTCGAAAAAACTGCAAAAAAGGTCTTTACAAAATTCAAAAAATTCCTAATTGATATGATTATCTTGAGATTAAATTGTCTTTCAGTGAGTTTAAGTATTATCGCTTCCCTGCACTTTGATGTCGCCGGGTAAATTGTTTCCGTTGGGTTTAATTAATTTGTAGAGAAGTTTTGGGTACATATTTTCGACGGATTTGGACTGGAAAGAAGAGGGAGGGGGTTTCTCCAATCGGTTGATTGAATTATTGGCTTTTCAGAGAAGTTTCCGTTCCAATAATTTCTGGAGGGTCAAATATTTGCATTTATTCATAAAGAAGTTTCTTAGGGGTTTTCTTATTCATTCAGGGTCGTTCATGTTCTGAGGATTTTCATTCGGAGTTGGAGATATTCATTGGTTTGGTCATTTTTTGGGATTCCAGTGGAGTGGGAAAGAGGAAATTGTTTTTATTCAAAACAATGTTTGGGATATTGTGCTTAAATTGAGGAATTTCAGCCACTGAATTTCAGTCTTTCGTAATCGCGAATCCCTGATAATTGGGAAACATATTTACTTGAGACAAGTTATTTTCCTTCAATTTATTGCTTTCGTTGTATTTATTGTTTTCATGAGTTCTTTTATTCACTCCCAATATTTCGATATGTCATATTTTCTACCAAGTAAATATGGTGTACAATTGGGAAATTATTCTCTTAGTGTAGTGAAATATCTCGAAAATTTCATTTTTTTCCTCCAGTCTACATCAGCCCTTATCAATTCCAGCAGGATGTACCGCCAGCCGGTTTACATCGTCCCCAATCTCGTGTGGGATACGACGATCAGCGTCCCCAATCACGAGTCGGTTACACAAGTGACTCAAGATGCCCGAGTCGTCTCGGCTACGACGACACCGGTGGTGGGTATCTCGATCAAAGTGATCCGAGAATGTACTGCACCGGCACTTACTGCATGGGTGACACGATGATGGCGACTGCCAGGGGCGTATGCGGCGAGGAGGTAGAGCTCGATATGCGGAGGCATATTCAAGCATGCGCCTGCACCTGCAATCACATGGGCTATGGTAACTACATGGACTATCAGGTGAGAATGTAAATTTCTATCCGCAACGAGTGGTTTTTACGTCGCAATCCGATTGGTTACACCGCGCCGGGGGGCCAACTGCAAATTCGTTTTTTTTTTCATTGGTATTTTTTTTGTCTCGGGTTGCGTGCCATAGTCGGACGCACAATCGCTTGACGATTCACCGTTGCGAACCAATGAATGAAAAAGTAATAAAAAACGTAAATAAAAAATGAACTGAGCGGTTCGAAATTGCCAGAAATTTTTTAGTTCGTTATTTTGGGGGGCGCGAGGGACGGAAATTTTTATGATCACTCGCAGTGGGGAAGAATCCCGAGGGAATAATCACGTTTGGAGATCACAATTGGAGTTGACAATTTGCGGCTGAAATTTTTTGTTACGGTGTACATCCCCTGAAATTTTGAGCCATTTCGTACCTGGAAATTGAATATTTTATGGAAAAATTGATAGAAACCGTAAATTTAATTTTGAAGAACATTAATAATTGATAATTATTTGATTAATTTTGTTTAGTTTTGAGATTTTTCACTTATTTCGAGATTTGCTTACTTTTGGAGTTGACAGTTTTTATTACATTCACTGTGAAGAAAATCTGATTCTGCCAATTAAATTTGTTACAGATGAATAAATTCCCGTAATTCTCTGGAACAAATTTAATTTGGAGAATTGTATTTTTATCTCAGTGTTGTTGATCCCCTGAAATTTCAAGGGAGTTCGTAACAAAAAATTAATAATAAAATTAATAATTAACAATTATTTAATTAAGTTTGTTTCATTTTGAGATTTCCCAATCATTTAGAATTTTCCTTATATTTGAAGTTAAACATTTTTGGCTGAAAATTTCATTACATTGTAGATCTCCTGAAATTTGAAGGAATTTCGTAGCTAGAAATTAAATATGGTATGGAAAAATTAATAAAGACTGTGAATTTCAGTTCGAAGAAAATTAATAATACAATAATTGATAATTATCTAATCAACTTTCTTCTATTTAGAGATTTTTTATTTGTCTGGAATTTTATTTACATTTGAAGTTGAAAATTATTGGCTGAAAATGTTTATCACATTGAAGATCCCCTGAAATTTGAAGAAATTTCGCAACTCAAAATTAATTATTTCGCCGAAAAATCGATAGAAACTGTAAATTTCAGTTCAATTATTCCCTGAAAATGAATAAACATCAGGAAAATTTAGGCGAATACATCCCACATATTTATCCCCGCGAGTGAATGGATGAATCTGGACAGATGCATCTGGGTACATGCACTCGTGTTCACAATAGTGACCCTTAATATATCGATTGTCATCCGTAACCAGTCCCCTGGCCTTGTCGAAGGGACAATATTAATTACCGGGGAACAAATTAAATGCAAAATGCTAAAGCTAACCAGTTGAAACTGGAGAGTTTGCCGAGTGCGGGAGGGGGTAGGGGGACAGGGGGGAATTATCATATCTCGTACATTTCCGCGTATATTTTAGTTCAACACTGGGGACGGGGGAGAACACGAACCACCATGACCATTCTGATTACACTCGGAAATATCCCCTTTGTCATTTAAACTGATTGAAATATTTTTCTCTCCTGATTGTATTAATTATTCAAATTATGAGGCGACGAATTAATACGGGGGTTCATTCAATCGTACACGACAGATTTTTCAGGGATAATTAACGATGATTTAATGAGTCGAAAGTGATAAATATTATTTTCTCTTTTGGGTACATAAAAGACTGAATTACATGAATTTTCGGAATTTATTTCTTTCTCATATGAAATTTTCTTTGAGTGATAATTAATGCTGATGGAATGGCTTGAAAGTAATAAAAATAATTCTCTCCTTTGTGATTTTTATTCTGCTTATATTCTCCTTTCTGGTTTATTCTCATTAATTCATGCTTCTTTGGGTATGCAGAAAAGCCTTGAATTACGCGAATCCGAGTAATTAATTTCTTTTGTATAATTTAGAGTTTTATTCGCAAATACAGAGTTACGAGGTTTCCAGTAAAATTCTCATCTCTGTTTCTGGAGAATTTCGGGATCTCTGGTTTTATTAAAATAACGGGAGAAATTTTCAGCGAGGGATGATGAAAGGTGATGTCTAAATACACGTTTCGAGGGATTCAATCGGGTGGTTTTATTTTTTGAGAATATACTGGTGTTCTTAATCCCCAAGGACTCATGATTGTCACGAGAAAATTATCCTTTTTGATGGGAGAATAACCTTCAGCGTTTGTGGAGCTTCATGGATCCTAAAACCAAGTGTCATGAAGCTTATAACACACGTCTCGTGCAGCCTCACGGAGGAGAGACAAATGAACTCGTTAAATAAACTTATTTAACTACTCATTTCTCATTTCTGGGGGGAATTTAAAGTCTCGTCACATTCGGGATTTTTCTCTGGTGGAATTCATTTGTGATTCAACAATTTTTGTATTTCTGGGGCCTTTGTAATTTTTTTGAGGATTCTCTGGTTCTGGCTGGAAATGACTGAGATTTATACGTATTAACTCGTCAACCATTCTTTTGGAATTAATGAGTTATTTACTTCAGGTAGTTAAAACATTTTCATTCTAATAGATGAAAAAATTTCATGCACAACTTTTTCCAATAATGGGGTTAATTATTCTTCGACAAAATATTGCGGAAGTAAACAATTTTATTCAATTAAAAACATTGAATTTCTTGAAGTCGTTGAACTTTCAATTTTTCCAACAGTGCAGTTAATTAATTTCCAACAAAAATATTGTTAAAATAAATACTTTTACTCAATTGAAATCTGTTATTTTATTGTAAAAAATCGCTTTATCAGCCTATTTATGGTGACATTAATCTCTCAATCCTCCAAAACTCCAAAACTCCTTAAAAAAATAGCAATAACAGCGCCCCCCCATCAATATTAAATTTCAATTAAAACTTTTCCCCGCCAGAAAATCAAACACCCCCGCATAAAAAAACATATGTAACATATGTAAGCACATATTGTTTTGTACCCGAGTCGAATAATTGGACCTGACAAGTTCTACTTAGGTCTTTCCGTTCAGAACTGGATAGGTCTTGGGAAGCCTCTTCCCAAGTGCTTCCGAGACCTTTCTACCTCTGGTTATGTCCCATTTCAGCACTTGTTAGGTGTAAGCAGGACTTGTATTCAGACTTTCCAAATCCTTGCCGGTCCCCGTAATTCTATGGGCTTATATTAAATCCGGGTTCATATCCCTGTTTACGCATGCGTTATTGAAATAAAAATTGCAATTATTGTTTTTCTTAATCTCGAAAATCGACGTTTCACCAGAGGGTGGGGGGGAGACACATGTATGCGGAGGCTTGAAATTTTTACTCAACAAGGGGAGAAGTTGTCTAAATAAAAAATGAAATTGTTAACAAATCTGACCCTTGTTCCAAGTGAAAATGAAAATTTTTTATTTCGACATTTCTGGCGCCTCCGAGGGTGTCATTGGCATTAGAGGAGTCAATAAATACGGAATCAACATTCACTTGGCAAAAAAATTCGATTTTGGAGAAAATCGACTTTCACTCTGGCCCTTGACCCACGTGGACATGAAAATTTTTTTTTCGTCTTTTCTGTCACCTCCGAGGGTTTCACTGGCATCAGGGGGTCAATAAATACATAATCAACGTTCACTATTTTTTATTTAAACACCGTCTGCAAACGGAGAGATCAGGGTGGCTAAAATATGTTCTGCAACCCTCTCTCCTCGTTGGCTACAAATGTCAACACTCCGCATACATGCCTTCCCCTCCACCCCCTCGTGAAATCCCGCGGTCTCAGTAGTATAAGGAGGACTTCTCAGGGCCGAAAAGCACTGAGGGTTCGAAAGGTCTACGGAAAAGTACAACGCAAAATTGATTAGGACTTACCAGGTCAATCGAGGTCTGGAGAGATCTTGAAAGACCTGTGTACGTCCAATCAGAACCAAATCCTCACAAGTAAAAATCATGTGGTCACATCACCCTTTCGCCGCCCCCTCAACTCCCAAAACCAGAGAAGCGTAACTTGGTACATGAAGAGAAATTTTTGATAACAATTATCCTACCGTTCTATAAAAGTGTATCATGAGTCATCGTTTCCTCATTTCTATCTCGAAATTTAGTAAAAATTAATATATGATGATCAAATTTTATTCCACGTTAGAGAAATTTTGTACTGACGCATAACAAATTGTATCCTTCCAGTCCAATAATTTTTATGNGCGCCGTTTATCGGGCCGAGTGACGAAAATTCTAGAACGGTTGGTAAATTTTACCCTACCGGTACAGTAATTTTTACTATACTGGGACGGTAATTTTTATTTTTATCAGGATAAAATTTCTCTAACGTAGAATAAAATTTAATCATCATATATTAATTTTTACTAAATTTCGGGATAGAAATGAGGAAACGATGACTCATGATACACTTTTATAGAACGGTAGGATAATTTTTATTAAAAATTTCTCTTCGTGTATAATCGAGAAAAGCCACACTGGGAATTCTAGTCTTTTTGCTGTTCAACAATTTGGAATTCCGTTGAATTTCCTTAGAAATTTACAATCTCATGATTTTTCCCTCTAAATCAAATTCAATGGCCGTCTTTAATGTCCTTGAAGTCCCAATTGTTTCCAAAAATGTAATTAATCATTCTCCAATACAAATAGTGTTGAAGTAAAAAGTTTTACTCAATTAAAATCCTTTACAGCATTATAAAAAATCGTTTCATCACGTTATTTTTGGTGATACTAATCCCTTAACCTCCCAAAACTCCAAAACTCCCCAAAACAATACCAATAACAACCCCCCATCCATATTAAATTTCAATTAAAACTTTTCCCCGCTATAAAATCAAATACCCCGAAAAAAAAATCCGCGATCCGCGTAAAGTCCGTCCGTAACATATGTAAGCACATTTTGTTTTGTATACAAGTAAAAACCATATGGTCACATCGCCCTTTGGCCGCCCCCTCAACTCCCAAAACCAGAGAAGCCTAACTTGGTATAATCGAG